GGGTTTTGTTTCACAATCCTCTCCAGGGTGCGGTTATCTCTCTTGCTTGTACACTTTTTTCGACCACATCTTTTCTTTCCCTTCGCCTCTCTATTAATGTGCTTGGACACTGAGCTCTGTGAACAGCCAGCCTCTTTAGCGATGACCTTTTGTGTCTTGCCCTCCTTGTGCAAGGTGTCGATGGTCGTCTTTTGGACAACTGTCAAGTCAGCAGTCTTCCCCATGATTGTGTAGCCTATAGAACTAGACTGAAAGACCATTTAAAGGCTTTTGCAGGTGGTTTGAGTTAATTAGCTGATTAGAGTGTGGCACCAGGGGCCATCAATTTTGAACCTTTTCACAATATTCTAATTTTCTGATATGATGAATTTGAGATTTTCATTTGTTGTCATTTGTAATCATCAAAATTAAACAAAATAAACATCTGAAATATATGAGTTTGTATGTAATGTATGAATATAATATACAAGTTTCACTTTTTAAATGGAATTACTGAAATCAATCTACTTTTTCATGATATTCTAATTTTATGACCAGCACCTGTATATAGTTAGGCTGCTATACACTTAGACTGCTGGAGGATATAGGGACAACTTTTCATCATTATGCTTCAATTTACCTTTATCCTCCTATTTTGCAGAATTTGTTAGTTTAACCCTTAGCTTCTTGTTCTCCTTGCTTTTTCTCATCTTAGTATCTTCATCGGACCTGGTTCTCTTTCGCTGTGACTCCATCCTGGATGGAAATATCAGCTTCAGTTATAGATGCTAGTTTGAGGCCTCTTTATTAGTGCTTAGTCCTTTTTCTCGCCTAGGCATATTCTAGCTATGGGCTCAGCTTTTACCATAGGTAACTGGCTGTGCTCTCTTTTCATCCCTTTTGGCAGAATTTACTCAGAGCTCATCTGCTTAACTATTTCTTTTCTAGAAACAGTCACCTCTGGAGCTACTTTACCGTTTCCTTTTCTAACATAGAAAGTATTCTAAATCAGTACTTCTATGTTCGTTGTGTATATTTGCTTCTGTCTCCTGTTTCTACCACTGAAATCAAAACTGTACTAACATGATATCAATAGTGTTACACTTCACCTTCAGTTTACCCCCAGCATCTGGTGAGGAATAACATACAAGTAGTTGTATTTGTGTTCTTAATGGCATTTTAGACTTTGTAATGTCCTTAAAAATGATTTGCAAATGGTTATGACTCACTATACCCACAGAGGGATCAAACTAATTTTCTTAAGATGAAATACTTTATCAAATTTCGTTAATGTCAGCACTGCTGATGAAGATCAGTAGACGAAGCCTGATGGAGCCCTTGAGATAACCAATAAGAAACGGTCCTGCACTTCAAAAGGAACCTCTAACATACGGACATGAATATCATTCAGATAGCGGCTTGTTTATGTGGAGAGAAAGAAGAACTAGATTAACATTTCATTTCTTATAACTAGAAAAAAACATGTTGACCGTTAAATCACTAAAATCTAATGCTGATCTTGACATTTAAAAAACTGTATAGAAAGACATACGTTATGTAAATATTAATGCCAGAAGTGTCAAAAAACTAAACATACTTTGCTAATGTGCTTAAGTAGGTTTGTGTTTGGTTTCTTTCTTTTATCAACCAATCTCAGCTGTTTGAAAACAGAAATACTCATTAAAACTGGGTCAACCACACCACTTCACTAGGGAGGCAATTTCTATGAAGCCAGAATTCTAGTGAAAGTGAACACATGTAATAAATACTGATATTAGCAGTTTTATATCAAACAAACACACATATAAACTACTCTCAACATGCATTTTGAACATTTTATGCATGTAGATTCAACACTATAGGCCCCCAACATGTCACAAGCATAAGTTCATGCTCCATCTTTTGATTTTTATGCCCCTGTAGATTCCGTTCTACTTAGGTGTAAAATTGTTTATGTGCCCTCATGAAAAAAAAAGTGTCATTTTGAGAATGGAACCAACCTGAGAACCAACAACCTGTTACTGTCACTTCTCAATCCGTATAGAAGCAGGATGCATTCCTTTAGCTCATTCACATTTGTAAAACAAGACATCATCAAGGCAACCATAAATATTGTTATAATGAAAATGTGTTTTTTCTTTACTTAAATCATCAAAGAATGCAAATACAAATAAAAATTATTAACAACTTTTCTGAGAGAACTGGAGGTATTTTACGTTTTTTTTTACAGTATATTTATTTTCTGATGTTGTCATCAAACATATTAAGAGCAGTCTAGCAAAACATGATTACGTCGTGTTTATCTGTATATTATTTGCAGAGATGGGAAGTAACGAAGTACAAATACTTCATTACTATACTCAAGTAGATTTTTCTAATATTTTTACTTTACTTTACTACTTATTTTTATGGCGACTTTTTACTTCTACTCCTTACATTTTTACACAAATATCTGTACTTTCTACTCCTTACATTTTAAAAAATTGTCTCGTTACTTTAGTTTTGAATCATTTCAATGGAGTTACCGTTATTATTTTTCATGTCATCAATACCAAATCCAATCTAATTAGATGGGAATCTACGTTGCATTTGACGCACCACTACAAGATGAATTGACAGATTCGGCGGTATTCATTGGCGGCAAATCATTGCAGCTTGGTGGCGGTGGCGTTAGCATAGTAGCATGGACGACGAGATGATTGAAAATGAACACAACGGAGATCTAGTCCTATTGGCAGACATCCATTTAAAATGTAGGCAACGGCATGAAAAAAGTGGTTTCTACTTTTACTTTTATACTTTAAGTAAATTTACAAGCCTGTACTTTGTTACTTTTACTTGAGTAAAGAAGTTTAATCAGTACTTCCTCTTTTACCAGAGTATTTTTTAACACAAGTATCTGTACTTTTACTCAAGTACGGAAAGTGAGTACTTTTGCCATCTCTGATTATTTGTGTCTTTTGATAATGCACTATACAATAAAACCACAATGAACCCTAAAACTTCAAATCACTACAATTATTTACAAATCTAAACAAAAAAAATAATTAGCTGCTGGAAGAAAGGTACGATCGCATTTCCCAGACTGATTGTGCAAGACGGGTAATATAAGTCAACTGTACCCAAGATAAGAAGCTTTTTTTCTATCAGAAAAGCCATTATTTACGTTTTACATGCTAGAGTTAAGTAAAAAGCATATTCATTTTTTTTCCTTTTTTAAAAAAGTTCAACACTGGCGACCCAGGTGTATTATTGGTGAAATTGTTGGTATGGATCATGCTACCGTTATGGATTGGGTAGCGAGATAAACATAAGCAAAGTATCTAGCTGTTTTCTTAAAGAGATAAAATCATTAAACAATTTTGTCCGATGAAACTGTCCTCGTAGCAATAGTAGCAATATGTTCTAAAATGATAATCAATGGAAGTTCTTAAAAGCTAAGCTAATGCTAGCTTTACTGTTTTGGGTAAAATGGGGCTTGAAAAAACCCTCATTTATGGTTACAGTTGCATAGAGAACTTTCTTTTTTGTCCATCATCGTGTTTCCAAAGTTGTCAGTTAATGAAAGAGATGCGTCTGGAATATGAAAAGTAACTGCATATTTATTTTGGCTAATAAGTTACTTCCACTGAGTGGTAACTGAGTTGCTAACTCTGGTACCCCTATTGAGAACTAACCAGCAACTATGACTGGTTAACTTTAACCTGCCCATGATGAAGATGCTAATTACCACAATATTTGGAGCAACAAGCAAATACAACATAATAAATAAACATTAAGCAGGTGGTTATCTCTTCCTCCTTGATTCTTAGATCATGCAGATCTTGTCTCATTAAGTTTTCCTGTTTTCCATGAGGAACTTTCATGTACCCAAACTTGGTTGTAGAAAAGCACACCAAAGCCTAGAAGTCTAAGCAAAACAATTTTTTTGAAATTATTTATTTATTTTTTCCCACTTGCTTTGTTTCTGTTTTATTTTCCTATATTTTAATCATGTAAAGCACTCTGCGTTGTCATTGTACTGAATTGAGCTATACAAATACATTTACCTTGCCTTGCCTTTGCCTTGCCTAAGCGCACAAATCACAATCATAAATCAGCAAAACAACTTATAGGTCTTCTTATAATACCAACTAGCTGGCAATATAAACTAATGTTAAAATTATCAGTTTTAAAACATATTTAGATCAACTCTTAATCCCTGGAGAACCACTGTACCAGATTAGCATCTTACAGAAAGTTTTCATTGATCCTATAACATTTTATCGGGGTCTCTTTTACTCAGACCAGCTGCAACCTGTGGTCTCGTCTTACTTTTTGATGATTAGCTTGACTTATATATAATTTTGGTTCCTAATCTTTAGCAAAACAAAGCCCCGTTTTTTTAATTTTCACCTGGGCAGGAACCAAACAGTCATCAGATGGATCAGACCAATCCAAATAAACTGAATTGATTAACAACCCATCTGCTGTAACCGTTTGGGACAACGGATTTCCACCTTCCTCTGTTTTAAAAGTGGTGCGCTTTGTTCTGTTTCTGCGGTTACGAGCTCTTTCTACCGTTATATCAGTCTACACAAAATATTTTTCCCCTCATTCATAAAAACAGTGAAATTAGGACATTTCCGGAGACAGGAGGTCCAACATGGTGAAACATGAAGGAAACATCATGCTTTCAGTTAAGTTTCCATCAGAAACTAAAAATACAGCTGAAATTTGGTGCATGACATGAAGACTGATGTTCACAGGTGTCTATCCATGTAAACTGCTTGTCTAGCAGCATTGCAGGTCGAACATCCACAAAGGCTTGTGGGTAAAATCAAAACAGAGGGTGTTTCTACCAAATACTGGCTCAGCGGGAATGAACACAGACATAGTTTCCACTTTTCTGATTTAACATATTTTATCTTTACCCTCATAACTTCATTAAAAGCACCAGCTGTTCATCCTGAAATCCATGAGAAACATCCATTTTTAATTCTGTTTTAGAAGAGCATCTTTAAATATTTCTGAGCACTCACATGATACATGCAGAAATAAAGTAGTGGTGTCCGAGCCGAGTGTGTTCTCTGCCAGCGCCGTGACTCGGAATATTCCAGCCGACTTGTAAACGTGTTTGATCCCCTCCTCGGTCCAGCTCAGGTTGGAGTAGGAGACTGCTGTACCATCGCCGAAATCCAGCTGGATGTTAGTTCTTAGAGAGTCCCCCTGAAACACAGCAAAGCTTAGTTTTACTATCTAGGAATTGTCTAAAACCTAGTTCTGACTCTGTGTGTAAAGTTTAACACATTTAAAATGCTCTCTGTATGCATGACTTCATTGCACCTTCTTAGAGTCACAAATCCATATTAAAAATAGTGGGATTGTGGTTCCTTTTCTGATGAGAAGACTTGAGTTTAATTTATTTAGTTTATCCATATAGCTCCTGTTCACATCAAATTTCATCTCAAGGCACTCATGCTGCAAACCATCCAGTCAGATTGGTTAAAAGCTTTTATCAATGGAAACCAGCTGAACCAATGGGTGCATTCAGCTGACCTCCAGCAGCCAAAGCCTCTCCTTTGTCCACAGGAGCCCTGAACTGAAGGGGATGTTGCTTCAGCAAGGAGAAATAGGTGGACACATATCACATTACAGACTCATATAGTATTTGGAAATAGCACCTTTGCACTCTGGAGAGGAGGGCGTTTCCTGTACCAGCTGCCATTTGTCACATTGTGTTTTCTATTTTTTGTTTGTTTTATTTTTATCTTCATTTGTTACAGTTTTTTTTTCTTGTTTTTCAAAAGATAAGATTTTTAGAAGATCAGATCAAATACATAAAAGGTCCACATAATAAAAAAAAAAAACAACCAAAGAAAGAATAAGAAAAATAGTGCAGTGGAATGTCTGTGAACCTACTCTTGTCTAATTCCTGAATGTTCCACATCACTGAGCCGGGAATCTAACTCTGACAAAAATTTCTGTATCTCTATAATATCTCTATTATGAGTTATCTTCTCAGTTCAGAGGGCCCCATGCCTGTCTTTGCCTAGAGCCCCAAATTTCCTAAATCCGCCCCTGCGTAAGACATAACACAACATTAGCAATAGAAAAGATAACATATGCAAGCGTGGTGTGAGCAATTGCTGTAGAGTCAACAACGCAATTTAGGTGAATGCCCACTGTCACCCCATGCTTTCAAATAGGGGAAAAATCCTGCAATCAGCTGCTTTTCCTTAGATTGAAAACTGATCTCGTTGAATTATAGCTTTAAATGTCCTTGAGATGACGTGAACTGGCATTATATTGCATGAAATTAACTGCAAAACATAGCAAAGATGCAATAAATTAATACTAAACTGAAGTAATGTGAAGGATGTTTCAAAAAGACTTTAGAAATCAAACCTAAAAAAAAAATGTTTTTCAATAGTTTTTTTTCCCCCTAGTTCCACTGCACACTTTTGTGATAAATCATCCGCTGATGCATTATGCTTTTGACAAAATTAGAAAACCCATAAACTCTCACAAAGAAAGTGAGAAAAAAAACATTCCCATCACCTTTAGGGAGTCTCTACACAGAAACAAATTTCCTCTGTCAATCATTATGAGAAACACCAATAAATGGAAAAGTCAAATATAACCACGGAGGAAAAGAACTGTACTAAAATCTAAAAGCTGTTACTGTTATGTAGTGCGACCATTTTGGAGTTGCCGTGGTTACAGTAGCTTGGGGGGCTGATGGGGTCACAGCAGCTGTTTTCTAAGTGCTGCATGCTCTGTTATAAGGCTGATTTTCATAGGGTAAAAGAAATGACGAATTTCCATACCTTCAATTTAATGCAGTGACAGAAAGAGGATTAAAACATAAGACTTAGATTCCTGAATCACCAAGGAACAGGAAAGCATTTTAAAGTACAGCTTTTTGGCCTGCAGGCTGTTTTAGAAAGAAGAGATGATGAAACAGGGTGGCAAACATGCCACCTAAGCCTCTTTAATAGGAAACCATTACATTCAAGACAAAAATGCACAGCTCTTTAGTTAAAACAAATGAATATTGCTTTTTATGAGCCTAAATTTTTTTTTTTTGAAATAAGTATTTCATTATGGATTTCCTACAGATTAAAACCAGCTCTAAGTGGATCCATAAAGTCATTGGTTAACTAGGATTTCTTTATTGTATTAACGCATTGATAGAATTTCTTGTATGCTTTAAGCACCTGTCACACTTTGATGATTTAGCCAGGGTATGCCTGACATCCTAGAATCTCCTAAAACGCTGCCAAACGCTGAGCTTTCTATTAAGTTTTTTATTTTGGGCGTATGCATAGAGTATTCATAATAAGTCCAGAACTTATGTCCAACGACAACCTAACTTCTGCATAACGCACGGCAGCGTTATGCACATGAAATGATGCACAAACCAGTGTCCTGAAGGGGGCAGCGATGCACCCGGAAAGGCGCCTGGCCTGCATAAAAAGTCGCTTTGATCGCGGTATTAACCTAGCTGCTGTTTACCGCCCACCAAAAAATAAATGAATAAATAAATAAAAGGAAAAAGAACGAAAGAAGGTTTGCAGTCGCAACAGATTCAGCGTCATGTTTGCTAGGAAGTTTGTTGGTGGTGGGTGTGAACGCAGGGAGGATCCACCACGATCACCTTCTGGCTCACCCTATGATGGGAATGAAGTCTGGAGGAGAACTGATGGTTTCCTCCTGTGAACCCCCTTTATACAAAAATGCTGCCAATATGCAATAATATAGTAGCTGGAAGTTAGAAACACGTTTAGTGATGGTCTAAAACACATCAGATGCGTTGATATGAGTTGGAGAGAAGTTCTTGATAAGTTATGCACAAGTTAACCAGAGGTTTTGAATAAGCTAGACGGCATGGGGAACATCAGATAACTTACCTTTAACAAACCAAAATGCTGAAGAGGTTAATGTTGGTTGACGCCAGAATAAACAGTGCGACAATAAACAGTGAATGGAAGCTAAACAGCAGGAGACCAATCAGGGTGCCTGTGCTGACCCCCCTCCTGCTGCTACTGGAGAAACAGCAAGCAGGGAAGCATCAGTCCTGGACTGGGGATCATTAAAAGAAGGTTTTGCAAGTTATTTTTTTGTCTATTTTTTTTTTTTTTTTTTTATAGATTAACACATGGAACCAGGATGTACTTTACAGTACCTCATTGCACTTTCAGGGATCTAAAGGATTCACTGCCTCTACACTACATGGCTGTTCTGAAAGAAAAATGGCCCAGTTCACCCGACTATTTGATAACCAGAATTGGTTACTGGAAGATCCTGGTTTTAGACCTTTTCTGATGGCAAGACGCATACATCTGAGTGCTAGAAAGTTGATTAATTTACTGATTATTTACATCCACACTTAAAATTTTAGTTTTAAATCAAGCCTTTGCTTTTCAAATAATGAATACCTTTCAGGTATAGAATAAAAGACCAACATAATGGGTTTGACTTTTCTCCACAATCTTTGTTTATATCTGTAAACCACTAGTATATGTATGTTTTATTTTTTTTCTGTGCAGCTGATTTATGGGTAAGTTATATTTCGTGGGAAGGAGGAAAAGAGAAGTTTCTATTCACACGGCTTCTAAATTTCCATCTCCATGTATGTTTGGGTGCAGAAGTCTTTAGCTGCAAACACCGGCTCCTCTGGGAATCACATCTGCTGCTATCGGCATGCAGCACCAGCGTTATAGCCTGCTGCTTAAAAAACAAACCAGGCCATCAAGTTGACTTCTAAGAATTCCACGGTCACAATACGAACGTAAAGTTACTGGTGCCCACATCTGAAGCCCCGGATTAAAACACCAGCTCCACTAAAAAACTAATAACATAAAAGTCTTCATTCTTATTCTCAAGCCTCTTTGTCTCTTTCTCTTTTTAATTTTTTCAAGTTTAACTTTTTTATATTTTCTTTTCTTTTTCTAATTCCTGTTTTTCAGATTGAGTTTTTTGGGCTGTCATTCTTTTCAAATTGCATTTCACAGATGAAAGTGACGTGGGCGTAAGCAACATTTTTATAGGTCAATGTGTGCGTTTAAAGAAAGCATCTGTAAGAGGTTTAAAGTTAAGAGAATTTGATCTGTAAACTTAATTTGAGAAAAAAAAACTTGTAAAGCTGAATCAAAAAAACTGAAATTTGAAAGAAAAAAAAGACAAATATGAAAAAAAAAGTTTAAATAAAAAAAAAACTTTTTTTTTTAAATATGGAAAATTAATTTAAAAAAAAGATAATTTGAAATACATTTAAGGAAAAACATACTATTTTTGTTTTTTCTAAATTTATTTGGATTGCATGTTTCTTAATTTTCCATTATCACAATGTGTTCTTTGCTTGCAACAATAATGGAACTAAATTCCCTCCGTAGAAAAATGACATTGTTTGCATCAGTGTCCTGTTTGTCTGCCAGGAAAATGATACTTTTAATACGTCGATGGACAGAACAGAGAAAGCTAAGCCGACACTCTGGGTATTGTTATGAACCGTAATGAGTTGGCACCCAAACAACACTCTGGCTTGGTGGCACCAATGTCACTCAGCGCCGCTCAGCATCTGCGCTGCATCCTGTGTTTACAGTGAATACGGGCCACCCTGGGATTCACTCATCTGCATGAAACTGACGCTGACCCGTCTCCCTAAAATGTCACTCTTTGTGTCTGCGAGTCTCCAAAGGCTGAGCGGATCCAAACACCTCGCAGCGTGCTGCCTTGAGGCTGGAACGGTGCTGCTGGTTCCCAGTGACAGCGCCACTGCAGAAGGTGACAGGGATTTGGAAAGATGAGGCCAGCATTTGTTAAGGTGTTAGACCAGCACATACAGCGTCAGTGTGATGTGTGACAACAAAAGAACAACTGTTCCGGTTATATCTGCTGCATGCAGACCCGATAACATGAATTTATGCTGTAAAGGTCAACGCTTGCATTGAAGAAAATATGCTAGCCGTTAGCCAAGAAATGTTAATGATTAAATGCTTGGATAAGAGCATCTTATTGTGCTTATATACATGCATACATCCCAGAAGCAAAGAAAGACTAACTAAGCGCAAACTCTGTGTTGCAATGGCATAACTATCGGTAAGTAGAGAATGCAGTTGCTTAGGGGCCCCCGACCTCTTAAGGCCCCGTCCCTGACACCTGGTTGGCCCCCTACGCAATTGTGGACTAGGACATCACTTTTAAGATGTAATGATGCGAAACAT